ATTCTCTTCTTCGTTAAGGCTGAATACTATTCTATTGTATATATACCACATCTTCTTTACCCACTCATCCACTGGCAGACATGTAGGTCCCTTCCGTGTCTGTTGTGAATAATACTGCAATGAACATGGGAGTGCAGGTATCTCTTCAAGATACTGGTTTCATTTCCTTTGTGTGTATCTGCAGCCGATACAGGATGTTTTTAGATTTAAGTCAACGTGCTTTAAAAAGGAGATGCTACATTCTGACCAAAATCTGGATTTCTAGCTTCTCTTGAAAACTCAGAATAAATGATTTCCCAGGAAATGAAAGTTTCATGACAACACAGACTTTGTTTTGTACACAGCCCTAGCTCCAGGATGTAGATCAGTGTCTAACAGTCAACAAATATTTGATGAATGAATAAATGAATGAGCAATGACAAGGCATGACTCCTGTTAACTGAAACTTAATAGCAGCTGTCCCCTTTAGATGGGGAGTATGTTCTCCCTTGCATGTTAAGTAAGTGTTCTCTGCAGATGAGTTAAGGGTGGAAAAATAGGCTCATCTTTTTATGGACTGAATATTTATGAGTCCTCCCTTCCCCCGCTCCCACCACCAAATTCATACGTCAAAACCCTAACCTCCAATGTGATGATATTTGGAGGTGGGGCCTTTGGAAAATAATTAGGTTTAGATGAGGTCATGAGGGTAGGGATCCATGATGGGATTAGTATCCTTATAAGGAAAGGAAAAGCGCTTCCTCTCTCTCCATATGAGGACCCAGTGAGAAGGTGACCATCCACAAGCCAGGAAGTAAACCCTCATCAAGAACCGAATCTGCCCACAACTTGATCTTGGACCTCCCAGCCCACAGAACTGCAAGAAATCAATGTCTGTTGTTTAAGCCACTGGGTCTGCAGTATTTTCTTATGGCAGCCAGAGCAGACTAATACCAAGTACTTCTCTTAACCCCCAGAGAAGCTGATTAAAGAAAGAATGGAAGTACGTAGCCCTGCCTGACAGCAATGAGTCTAATCAAATTCCGTAGATGGGCGGAAAAGTGTTCAGGTCGCAGGTCTCCGTGATGGACAGTTACCTTGTCATCCCACCCCTTCTCTCTCCTGACCCCCTGAACTGAGTTGAGGACAGTCTTCTGGGGTGGATCTTTCTGGTGATTAGCAGCAAACCTTGTGGGTGAGCAAGGGCTATGGACTGATTTGTGTCCCCCCAAGATTCCTATACAGAGTGGGCCTGAATCCAATAGGACTGGCGTCCTTATAAGAAGAGGAAGAGACACCAGAGAAAAGGTCACATGAGGAGACAAGAAAGAAGACAGCCGTCTGCAAGCCCGAGAAGGAGGTCACAGGAGAAACCAAACCCGACCACACCTTGATCTTGGACTGCCAGCCTCCAGAAGTGTGAGAAAATAAGTGGCTGGTGTTGAAGCTCCCCGGTCAGTGGCATTTGGTTTGGGCATCCTGAGCTGACTAAGACAGTAGGTCAGGGGTCTTTATCCATTAGCAATGTGGACACAGTGCCCAAATTACAAAAGCTTTTAAAATGCTCCAAGCCCTGAGCAAAGAAAATGTATTGGCTCAAAAATGAAAACTCCAAAATCAAAACGAACTCATATATAATTAAATGTTTACAAAACAAGGAGTCGATGTTGATTCAGTGGTATTACAAGATACTTTATTCTTAACAGAATTCGAAGTGATAGAATTCAGAATTCAAAAGTTATAGCAAAAAAAAAAAAAGAGAGAGAAAGAGACACCTCAGTCCCATCACAGACCTCAGAGGTATGCTATCAGTTGGAGAAATATGGATATGTTGGAACACCCACCCATTCCCTGCCCCCACAGTCAGCTTTACCTCACCAGATGACATCATGCTCACTTGCTCTGCCTTCCAGCTGGAGGCCTCCATCTTTTTATCCAACCATCCATTTACTCAACCTGCCTCTCTGATCCTCACATACACCTGTCCCCTGCCAACCTCTCCTAGCCCTCATATCATCCCCAACCCAGGAGCGCCCTCGTAATGCCCCATTCGATCCCAACACCACCCATTCTGTAGGACCCAGCTGAAGCCCACCTTCCTCCACAGTTGTCTTCATCTGACCACTTCATCATGTAAGCATCTTTGCCTTCTCCAAAATATTGGGGTGTTTTAGTCTGAACCACCTATTTAGCAGTCAATTTACAACTGCTTTCTGTTTTTTCTCTGATGATTTCATAGACCTACAACTTGTCTCCCAAACTAGACTCTTAGCCTCTATATAGCACTAGCATTGTTCTGTTACTTTTTTCTTTGTACCCTGGCAGAAAAGGCTCTGGAGCGGGACAAACAGTAAGTGGCTAATGGATTCTTCTTTTCCTATATGACTTATTGTTAATCTACTTGGCTTCCAGCTCTGCTGAAGGGATCCTCATCCTCCATTTCCTTCTCACCAGGTACCTTCTTTCTGTCCCCCATCTCCTCACTCCGTAGGTCAGAAAATAGTGGGAAATATAAACATACAGACTTTTTCATGGAAAAGTGCACAAAGAGACCCTGGAAACCTCCCTGAGATCCCAAGGCAGAAAGGACTGGCATGATATATTCAGAGCACTAAACAAGAAAAATATGCAGCCAAAAATACCATATCCAGCTAGACTGTCATTGAAAATAGAAGGAGAGATGAAAAGCTTCCAGGACAAACAAAAACTGAAAGAATTAGCAAACACCAAACCAGCCCTACAAGAAATATTGAAAGGGGTCCTCTAAGCAAAGAGAGAGCCTAAAAG